GTGGTGTTGGAATCGTTTTTGGGGGCTTGTGGGTCAAATTCACACATATTTAGGCTAAATGGTCATTTTCTGAGTTTTTCGGTCCAACATGTGTTATCATGGTTGAAACTGGTTTTGGATGTGTTCTCATTGTTTATCAACACCTCAGAAAGTGTGAAATGTGGTTTGATAACGTTTGGGGGTAATGGATGCGTTGGGGACCTCATTGGTCAAAAACTAGGATTTTGAGGTAAAAACACGTTTTTGTGTTACAACATGCTTTGTCAAACCAAGTCTTGCTTTCATGCGTATTTTTGGGTTAGAAATTGGTTTTCTAGGTTGCAAGCACTTTGGGTTTTTAATTTGGCAATGTGGGATGAAAAGGGGTTTTTGGTAATTCATTGCATTCTTCCATGTTTTCTCTCATTTTTGGCATGTTAGGTTTTCCACCATCTCAATTGATCCTTAAAAATACAAGCATGGTCCCACGCTGTTTATCACATGTTGAGAAGCGAGTTGGGGGTGTTCAAATGGTCATTTATCACTTTTGTGCAATTTTGACATGCTTTGGGGCAAAAGGAGCAATCTTGTATTTTGGGGAGTTTACTTGTGTTTTCAGGTTTCAAACTCATTTTTTTCGAGTAAACTTCATGGTTCACACGCACACACGATGTTCTGAAATGTGTGTTGACCAGTGATGAAAGTGTCGAAACACCAAGTGACGTTGGGGGTTACAATTTCGAGTTTTCGTGTAAATCGACTAAATTTGAGTCTTTTCGGGATAAGATATGTTTTCCACCATTTTTGTTGTTGCACTACATTAGCTTATTACTGTGCACTTGGTTGCTCGTGTAAAAAAAGAAAAAAAATAATAATTTTCTGGTAAGCCTTGCGATCGCATCGCTATACCAGCCATGCGATCGCCCAGCAATAGTCAGGACCAAAATTGGTCCTGACTGCTAACTCCTTGCGATCGCAAGGAGTTAGTTTGTGCGATTGCAGGGCCTGCCCGAATACAAAATAATAACCCAACCCTAACCCCATTTGTTTTTTTTTTCTTCACTCACATCTTCCCCATTCTCTCGACATCACACGACATCCCCACACCCATTCCTCACATTTTCACAAAGTTTTCATCTCCCTCACTCACACATCCACCAACACCCACTTCCATTTCATTTTGCACCTAAACCGTGATTTCACATGTACCGTTCGGCCTCCCCCTCTTTTTCTCCAATTTTTTTTTCTTTTCGTTTGCTTGTTAGTCTCCTAGGATGGCGTTTGGGGATTAGGTAGTTATGGTGTTTGGTTGATTGATTTGATATAAAAAAAAATGTGGCTAGGATTACATTTCCCCTTTATTGTCATTCCTCAAGAACTCCATCATGCCTACAATGTGTTCGATAAATTGCTTAAGTGATGATTTCTATGCTTTATCATGAATTTCGAAATTTGCTTAGTTGCCAATTGTGTATGAGTGCAATTTGTGATAAAAATTGGTGCACATTGCATAGTAGCCATCACACATTCAATCATGACGTCTAGGCTAACCTACTGCACACTTAGCTAGGACAGGGTCCTTCACTGCACCTACTTCGTCCCCTGGGTTTCCCAATCATTTGACCTTCGTTTGGCACCAAATTTGGATATGTTGTCATTGGACCTACCCTCTTTCACATGCCCGAATATTGCTTGGGAAAATTTTGAGTTTTCAAGCCGATGTCACGGGGCGAAGTTGCTTAGTCGATCACAGTTTTAGATGAAAAATTTCCAATTTTTCAACTTGTTTTTGGGGTTTTTCACGTCTTACCATGTCTTTGCCATATCATACTCATGTTTCTTTTTTGATGTGCGTAAAGTTCACTCTATTTTCCCATGATTTGTGATTTTTCATTCGGTAGACACCTGCCTCGTTTTTCGCCCTTGATTGCATACTTCACCATTCATACCTATTTCAATCAAGTTTGGGGGAGTTCTACATTGCCTTTAGTAGTTCTTGTACTATATTTTATTTGGACTGATTTTGGTTATTTTCTTTATATAGGATGCCACCGAAACGCACTTCCAAAGGCAAAGAGAAAGTTGGATCTTCCTCTGGCACGGCCCGCACCCAAACACCTGACAGGGGTGTGCGGCTTTTTCTGGCCCCCAGTTGTCGTCTTCGCTATACCGATGTCATCTTCCATTGGCAACTACTGTTCGAGCGCCCAGTTAAGCTAGAGGAT